AGTTACAAGTGGGAAGATCCCACTGTCCTCTTTGCAACAGCCCTGGGACTTGGGAAGGGGAAGCATTTATGGCATTTACCATTAGTAAACTGCAGTTCTATCCAGGATGAATACAGCACATGAGGAAGGCTCCGGCAGAGAAGAGCTCAGGCAGTTATCCTGCAGATTTTGGTTTCATATCCCCTCTCCTCCATGAGGGAACACCGCACATTAGCACAATCTACCAACTATTAGAAATTGGGTGTGTTCCCTAAAGCATATTGGGGGGTATGGGACGTGGACTGGAACCAGCACACAGCAGGCATCTGCCTGCAGAAGGCATTTCCCTTACAGAAAGAGAAAAGAGGGGAAAATACCTAGGAGATTTCAGTGTCCAGAATATAACTTGTGCACAAGTCTTGCTGAAGTCTCTAATTACTCATTTGACTCTTTCCTTCTAACAAATCAGAGTAGGAGATTTAGCATTTAAAAAACAGCTGGAAAGCAGCTTCCAGTTTGTGCAGAAAGGCTCCAAGGGACACCACCATGCAGCCCTCAGGGTTAGAGAAGCTGGTTAAACACAAGAGCGGGTTTTAAAAAGTGAATAAACCAACCAAATAAAAAGGAAAAAATAGCCCAAGTGAGAGCTAATTAAAACCTTTCAGAAAAGAAATCTGCATGAGGTGATGCAGTTCCTAAAGTCTGTCTGCACTGCTTCGCTGTGTTAGCTGTGATAATAGTTGCAGCTTCAGGAGTATTAAAATTTCCCTATGGGGGACTGCAGAATGGAGCAGGTTGGGACTGGATTGCTGAAAGTTTACAGAACACACTGTCATGGCTTTCCAAACACACGTTAGCTGTTGCTTCCTCATCTTTTAAAACTCCTTGATTATGGAGCAGTGAAGTCAGATAAAAAGAGTTGTGGGCTCAGCTATTACTCACTGTGATTCAGCGTTTGAAATTATCCCTTTGAATGCGTCCAGGAAGGTTGCCATTCCAGGCATAACAAATTCCTAGAAATTGAACTGTGGATTCCAGCATTTTGCATGCTAAACAAATTGATAATCTTGAAAGGAGCAGGTATAACAGTGGTACAGTCATCCCAAGCCTCTCTGCTTCCAAATGCCACAGAACCTGCACACAGGAAAGGCTGTACCCATATTCCACAGGGAGGAAAACGTAGAGAACACTCTGGCTACTGTCATGGAGACCATAGTGAAACTAGAAAGCACTGTATTTCAAAATAAGTTTACCCCTCTGAAGCCTTCATTGGAATGTTTTAGAATAAATGAATGCAGAATGCTTTGTAAACTGTTCTCCATGTTTATTCAATTGGGAGCTGGTCTTGCAAGGCCCACAGGATCCACACCTCACCAAGGGAAAACAAATCACAGACACTTGGGAAACCTTCTCATTTCATGCTCTTTAAATTAGATAGTAAATTTAGGCTCCAGTGAAAACATGTGGAGAGGATGCTGGAGAAAGGGGAGGAAGTACAGGAACTACTGCTTAGTCTCAACCTTTGTGCTGTGGTACTTTAAGCAATCCATTCCCCCTTCTTACCCACTGCTTCCAGGATTCCCAAAACTTCATCCACCTGAAAATAGCTCTACAAGATTTCTCCTGACCTTGGGCTTCTCTCAATGACCTAGTAACACACCTAGGAGTGGATGTCTTGCTAAAACAGCTCTCGCACACTTTGCAGCTTTTTGGGCCTCTAGCAGAACAAACACAAAGAGACTCACAGCTGTGCAAGGCCCTGTATTTACCCAGATTCTTCTTTTGTGAGTTGGTAGTAAGATTTTATCAAGCCCTCACAGATCAAACAGTGGAGGACAATGCTGTAAAGTGAGGAAGTGGATGATGTTGAGGGAAGGCAAAGGCTAACACTACAGATTTATGACAAGGTTGTAACTCAGACATTACACAGGTACAGGTTACACAGGCAGTAAAGTTCAGACAAGAGAACTGAACGTGCAAACAGTCACAACTCTGCACAAAAGGTTAAGTGGATAAATCACACAAGTGTTTGGGTTGGAAGGGACCTTTGAAGGCCGTTTAGCCCATCCATCCTGCCATGGAATGTGTCCCTGCCCATAAGACCAGGTTGCTCCAAGCCCTGTCCAACCTGGCCTTGAACACTTCCAGGGATGGGGCAGCCACAGCTTCTCTGTGCAACCTATGCCAGTGCCTCAGCACCCTCACAGCCAGGAATTTCTTACTAATATCTAATCTAAATCTCTCATCTTTCAGTTTAAAACTGTCTGCCTCTGACCTGTCACTATCTGCCCCTGTAAAAAGCCTCTCCTTCCTTTTTCCTAAGGCACTAGCAGGGATTCTGAGGTCTCCTCAGGGCCTTCTCTTCCCCAGGCTGAACAAGCCCAGTTCTGGTAAGTGAGTTTTCAGGCAGCAATTTTCCTCGATGTGGGTTTGGGTTGTGCTGTTTGATTTCTCAGAACTGGGAAGCCCTCAGTGCTCTCCAGCACTGGTCATGGAGCTGAGGGCCACTTCATCAGGTCCTTCCCATTCCACAGAAGCTGCTGCAGCCCTGGTGCCACCACCATCATCACCTTTTGGCTGTGTCTCTATCTAACTCAATCCATGCAAAAAAAAAAAAAAAAAATATCCATCCTCACATCCTAATGCTGCATGAAAAAAGGAGGGGGAAAGGCATGGATGAAACCATGTGATTGCTCCTCTGTTATCCTTTGACTGCTCCTGCACTAGGACTGCCCAGGAACAACGATGCTGCCTCGATCTTCAGAAGTCAAGGGATGGGGCTGTGGGAACACAGCCACAGCTCTTCTGGGCAACCTGCACCAGTGCTTGTCCCCATATCATAAAGTATTTCTTCCTTACATCTAGTCTAACTCAACCTTCTTCTAAACGGTTTAAAACCATTCCCCCTTGTCCTATCACAACAGGCCCTGCTGAAGTGTTTATCCCCACGTGTCTTCCAAGCTCACTTTGAGTATTGACCAGGAAAGGAGCTGAAAATATAAAATATAACATAGAAACAAAACATAATGATGTACAGTGCTACCCTTTTTTTTTGGCAACAAGCCTAGGAATCTCCCCAACTGGCATCTGTTAGAGAAAATACTGAAAGCCATTTAGTTTTTAATAGGTACAAGACACCAAGTGATGTGCATGTAAACACAGATGAATTCAATGTATTTAAAGCATTTGCTCTAAATTCTCATTAAAGAATGAAGCAAGAAAGGTTCAATAACACAGAGTACCTCTTGAACTATCTACACTCTGTTATTTTAACATCTTACCCCAGGTATTCATACTTCATTTTTCAATTATAGCAGCTCTATAGCAGAGATCCTCTAGGATAATTAATATCTCATTTCAATGAATTAACCACACTCTGCCTGGTTTCCTCAAGATTCCATGGCACAACACAGTTAAGACCTCCTATTCTCCCAGGAACAGTAAAGTTTATAGACAATCTGGGATCAAAACAGACACCAGAACAGCAGAAAAGCTCATTTATGTGGTAGTTTATGACTACTGTACAACCCTAAAGATCATTCAAAGGGAACATGTGTGCTGCCCACCTGAACTGGCTGTTAACTGCTGCTCTGCTTGCAGCTCCAAACTGCTGCAAGCCCAAAATCTGGAAAATTCAGCACTAAACACACAGTATTTTGTATTATATTTGTACCTGTGAGTGATACAGTATTAAGCTACAGTACAATGTGGGACAATCTTGCACCAAGTGACCTACTAACTGGTTTGCAAAAGGTTACACATATTTTTTCCCCCTAAATCAGAGCAGGTTTTAAGTGCAAAGATGAGTATATGTTTTTTCTAGATTAACAAGTTAGTCACAAAGCAAAGCACTGTTGGAAACTTCAGTCTGCCTAGCCAGCTCTGCTTTTATCCTCCCTGCTTCCCACTTCCTCACTGATACTTTCCCAGCCATAAATGCTGTTTCTCTGATAAAGCTAA